AGGATCGCCTCTAGAGCCCTTTTTAAATATTGGTGTCACGTTGGCTACCTTCCAGTCATTAGGTACGGAAGCCGATTTAAAGGATAGGTTACAAACCACAGATAATAGCTCAGCAATTTCCCATTTGAGTTCTTTTAGAACCCTTGGATGAATGCCATGCGGTCCCAGAGATTTGTTAACATTAAGTTTTTCTATTTGTTCCAAAACCTCCTCTAATGACACTTCAATCCGGGACAGTTCCTCAGATTCATCACCCACAAAGGACAGTGCAGATTTGGGAATCTCCCTAACGTCCACAGCCGTGACAGGGCGCTTTTTCAAAAGATCCTGTAAACCTCATTCATTCAAAAAAAAATGAGCATAACCATTCATGTAACCTCTATAAAGATAATCAGAGCCTACTTTTTATAGGGAAGGTGAAAAGTAATTTATGTAGAACTATCTTTGTTTACCAGACACTGGGCATTGACAGTAACTGGTAGGCATTCACAGACAAATGACTTCGTTTAGATTTACTATGTTTTATGCCATCCCTTCAATGTGGGAAGATATTTAGCTGCAGCTATACTGGACAACTAGGTGATCTTGGGGGCCAGTTTACATCATTAGTCACCATCTCTGATGTTACATCCTACTGGAAAAGTTCAGCAATCCCAATATTTGACATTGATTCTGTCTCTTTAGAAAAATCACCTCTGAATATAAATCTTTAAAGGATGTGTTGAAGTGCTATTGCACCCTATTGCTGGCAAATGCATAGATATATGATGAACTAAATACCATTCAAAATGTTTTTATTGGTTCTTTTAAACTAGAAGTTGGGAAAGGATTAATTTTGCTGTCAGGACTGTTTGTGGCATTGCTAAATGCAGTAGAAGAATCATTATTTCCTTTGGTACTTACATGGGCATTGCTATTAATATCAAGACACATTGCTTTTATGACATTTTAGCTACCTTTGATCATTCACTCTTTGCAGTAGCTGGAAATAATGAAAAATGTCCATGTCAGTCCTAATATAGATTATTTACTGGAAAGAGGAAAGAATTATTCCCTTCAATCAGTGGCAAATATGACAGTTATTTCAAGGCATTTGTTATACCCAGTGACAACATTTAAAATAGTAGGACTTGATCCTAATAGGCTTCCCTAAAAACAGATCAACTTTAAACATTGCACTTTTTTCTATTGGCATAGTTTCTTTTGTAATAGAAAATTCATTAATTTATATTTGCATACACTGTTGGAATATTATACACAGAGGTTTATGTACACGTATAATGTTGTTATATAACTATTTCTGTAGGTATCATGCACAGGTGTTATAAAACTGTTTCCTTCAATGTTTTAAAGTGAGATAGAGTTTTAATTGGATCCAATGTGCTAATGGTATATTTCAAATGCTGTGGTCCAGAACCTTGGCTCGTGTACATTGATGCAGCTCTACTGACATCAGTCAGAAGCTGTCTCTGAATCTTGAAATATTACACATATTATAGGAAGCCTGTATTAATGATGTTTTAAGCAACCGAGTAGGGAAAATATAGAGGTGTCTTTTGGACTAGAGCAATAAAATTTTGGTTGGTAAACTATGTCAAATTGCATTCGAGAAATTTCATAACAATACTTGCAGCCCTCACATACTGTATGTATTATCTTAAATATATAATATGACAGAATTATTAGACACTGTAAACTAGGAATATAATTATATAGAATAAGTGTTGGCAAAAATGGAAAAATATCAACTATTAATTTCAAATGTTTCAAATTTCAAATAACCCAACAACTTTGCACTAGCAGAAATAGTTTAAAGAAAAAAATGAGAATACTGCTATACTAAAAGTGCAAAGCTGAAACATAAAGTACCCTCTAAAGTATCTCAAGGCTTTTTCCCCATATATTCTATGCTCCAATGATTTTTTCATTATGTGCTGTCAGATGAAAGGCATTTCTAATTTGCACAGATTATAAGAATTGAATTTGCAGTGTACATCTTTTACATTTAATAACTCACTAGTGCAGTTCTATAGAATTATTAAAAATACTGTAGATTACAGTAACTTAAAAGCTATCAACCTTTCAAACTTCTTGCAAAGATTTGGGTTTTACATAGGTGTGGTAATAATGAAGTGGACATTCAGTGCAGTGCTTCTAATGTACTGTGGAATGTATCCCAACATTGAAAAAGCAATAGTACAACAATTCAGAGTATGAAATACATGATGTTTGTATAATCATTTCCCCATGTACTATAAGCAAAGTGTATATTCATAATATTTAATTCAATATGACTCTTCAGCTGTTGATGCTTGAAAATGCAAATTGGTGATTTACACACATGCAAACACATATCTATTTAGCAAAACATTTAAGCTCTGGCTTCATTCTCTTTGACCTTAATGGGATTTAAAAACATACTTAGTTATCTAAGTGCTTAGGTGCCTTGCTGGGTTGGGGACAGAGAAATAGATTAAAACATGTAAATAGTCATTGTATACATAACAGTTTTGTTTTCTATAATGTTTGTTTCAGGCTGACAAGAAAGAAAAGAGTAATGCCTTGAATATCGCAATAGATAGCATGTGCAAGAAGACAAGAGACCTTCGCAAACAGGTAAAGAACTTGGGGACAAAATCATGGAAAAACAGAAAAACAGATTTATCTATATTTATTTCCTGCTTTTGATATGATTATAATTTTAAAAAGAGAGGAATTCTTATCCAGAGCAGATTTAATATTACAAATCTGTAAGTCCGTAAAGATCCAGCATTATGAATAAGGTTCATAAAGAATGGATCTGTGTGTGTATGTATGCACAGAATTTTTTTCAGAAAGTTTCTTACCGTGGCATTTGGAAATTTAGAGTAGTTTTATGCATTTTTTTTCAAGCTTGATGAAATTTCACAAACATTCATAAAATCATAGCACTGGATGGAAACTCGAGAGATCACTAAGTCCTGTCCCCTGCACTTCTCGCATGACTAACATTTAGATCATCCCTGACAGGTGTTGTCTAACCTGCTTTTACAAATCTCCAATGACAGAGATTCCACAGCCTCCCTAAGCAATTTATTTCACTGGTTAACCACTTTGACAATCAGGATGTTTGTCCTGATGTCCAATCTAAACTTGCATTGCTGCAAATTGAGCCCATTGCTTCTTGTCCTATCATCAGAGGATACGGACAATTTTTCTCCCTCCTCCTTTAAAAAATCTTTTAGGTACTTGAAAACTGCTATCATGTCCCCTCTCAGTTTTCTCTTTACCAGACTAAGCAAACCCAGTTCTTTCAGTCTTCCCTCATAGCTCATGTTTTCTAGACTTTTAATCATTTTTGTTGCTCTTCTCTGGACCTTCTACAATTTCTGCACATTTTTCCTGAAATGTGGCAAATAGAACTGGACAGAGTGCTCCAATTGACACCTAATCATCACAGAGTAGAGCGGAAGAATGACTTCTCTTGTCTTGCTTCCAACATGCCTGTTAATACATCCCAGAATGATACTTGCCTTTTTTTTGCAACAGTGGAGGAGTAAGACTTGAATTGGAAGCCATGAAATCCTAAATTTGGGTTCTGTCTGTACCAATATGTGTCTTTAATCATTTCCTGCATAGCACTTTACACACATTAATTATGCTTTACAATACTCCTATGAAGTGGATAAAATAATTAATCTGTGTGGCTTTCATAAGGAGATTCAGTCTCTAGGGGTATGTCTACACTACCCCACTAGTTCGAACTAGCGGGGTAATGTAGGCATACCACACTTGCAAATGAAGTCCGGGATTTGAATTTCCCGGGCTTCATTTGCATAAGCGGGGAGCCGCCATTTTTAAAACCCCACCGGTTCGAACCCCGTGCCCCGTGTAGCCGCGCTCGTTTCCTTGCCTCCAACCTGGGGAACACCAAGGCACAGGGGAACACAGTGAATTTATGTTTCACTGGACACAGTGAATTTATGTTTGAATCTAGCTTTAATGAGTGATAAGTGATGTAGACATAGCACATGTATCCACCACGGACATAGGTCTAGTCATGAGCCAGCTAGTAGGACATCACGAACCACAAGCCCACCAGCAAATTCAATGAAAAACAAAATAGGGAAGATGGATGCAAAAGTGGATAGCTCTCATTTTGAAATCGTATATTCCATTCATTTAAATATTTCATGAGATTGTATTTATCATTCCACTAGAAGATGTACCTGGTGTTGCTTGGGTCCTTCTGGGCAGGCAATAGGCATTGTGAGGGGTTCAGGCATCAGAGCAAGGGTTGGGGTTTCAGGGCTGGTAGTAGAGGGTGCACAAATCAAGGTTGGGGGCCCTCATGTCAGAGGACTGGGAAATGTAGCAAGTCTCAGGGCAGGGCGCTGGGTATATGGAGGGCTCAGGGCAGGGGGTGGAGATGCAGGAGTCAGGGCAGGGAGCAAGGAGATAGAGGTGTTCAGAACACAGGGCAGGATTCAGGGCGGGGGGTGGTGGTAGTGGTGGTTAGGCCAGGAGACTCAGGTCAGGGGATTGGGAGGTTTGGGACTCTTCTGGGGATGGGCTCTTTGAGAAGGTTTAGGCTGCAGTGTCCACTAGTCTCTAGCTCCTTTGGGGTGGGGGGACAGGAGTGCAGTACCTAGTCGACAGCTCCTCTTGGGAGTGCCAGGGCTTCAGTGCCCAACCCAGACTTGGTTGTTCTTCTTTGGGGGAGGAGTGTGAGTGGGTTGTTGTACAGCCTGGTATCAGTGGTGCTTCTCGGGGTAGGGGGGATGCTGGCTCTGGCAGTGTTCTTTGGAGGGAGAAGGTGTTGCACAGCGTGGGCCCAGACCCGGTGGTGCTTCTCAGGAAGGGAAGTGGGCTAAGCAGGCTGGACTTGGTCCAGCTTGTCTGGGGTGGGCAGACTGGGGCTCTGCTACCTAGCACCACCCTGCAGCATCTCCAGGGTGGCAGGGCTCCTGGCTGGTAGGACCGTTGGCTGGTGAGGCTACCTCCCCTCCCAACTGGCACTGTGGCTGAGGACAGGGGGGAGGGATATTTTAGAGGCAGGGGAGCCACATGCCAGTGGACAGCAACATGGAGAACCCTGGCCCCAGGTGGCCACTCTCTTGCTAGTGCGGCTGTCCCTGTGGTCACTGTGCAATGTATCTGCCTCTCTTGTCAGCCCCCTCCCTTTCTATGTGATGGAAAACAATTGAATTAGTGTACCTCCCATTGTCCTGGCACAATCAAACCCCAACCTTCCTTTAAGTTATAATAAGAAGACGCTGCATGCCAAATTTGGTAGTCCTAGCTCTCACCATTTTGGAGGAGTTCTGGAACAAATGGACTCACAGACAGATGGACTCATGAACAGACAGACAGATACACAAACTTTCTAAAATATATATAGCTAGATCTATATGGTGCCATATATAGTAGTTACTTATGTGCAGCATGCCGGAGATCAGTGCTTCCCCTCACCAGCAGGACTGTTTACATTTTAAGGAAGGGATGATGGCAGACTCATTCCAATGTCTGCTGCTCTGTATCTTGACATATTGCCGGTGTTAATATTCACATCCTAACTCTGCCATTATACTTGTGGTTGATCTGTTGTGCTTTGCACAGATGTTTTGCCTGTGGTTATTGTTTAGTTATTTTCTGGAAGGGTTCTTAGGGCTGATGTTACCATGTGTGTCCCCTTCTCCTACTCACTGATAGCTTTTTTCCCCACACATTGCAGGTTTCATTGCCAATGTCCCTTTGAAACAGGGAAAAGAGAGTCTCTCGCTAATAATTATCAGGCCTTGTGCTAATGTTGCATTTGAGAAAGCAGTTTTCCAGTCTAATCACAGCATTGATTCAAATAGCATCTCACACACACATCCCTCCCTCATTCTTTCCTCCTGAAGAAGTATAACCACAGATTTTAAAAATGTTCTTTTCCGTAGGTTTATTTTGCCTCCTGTGACATTCCAGTAATCAAATCCAAATCCTTTGTAATGTGTGGCAAAGCTCTGACTGCCCTGTGGGTCCTACACTTCTGGCAGACAATAGTTGCCTCAATGGCTTTCTGTCTCTCTCCACACAGCCTCTTCTTTTTGTGGAGGCAAGGGTCACAGCCCACCGAGGCATATTCATCATAGGCTAGTTCACAGTTTGGTATGAAAACCCCACTCTAGTCTAGTCTCCCTTCTCAGGAGCAGAGTCTATAGTGGGGCAGGAGGAGGGGGGAACCCAGGCACACCCACTAGTCCAGGTGTCCTGGCCCAGAATCATAGAATACTAGAACAGGAAAGGACCTCAAGAGGTCATCAAGGCTGTGTCTAGACTACATGCCTCTGTCGGCAGAAGCACGTAGATTAGACACATAGGCAAAGGCAAATGAAGCCGCAATTTAAATGATCACGGCTTCATTTACATTTACATGGCTGCCACGCTGAGCCGACAAACAGCTGATCAGCTGTTTGTCGGCTCGTGTGCTAGTCTGGACGTTCCCCCTGTCGACATCAAAGCCCTTTGTCGGCAGCCCCGTTATTCCTCGTGGAATTAGGTTTACCGGGGCTGCCGACAACTGAATTTGGGGTACGTCTAAACTACATGCCTCTGTCGGCAGAGGCATGTAGATTTGTTTCTTCAGCAAAGGCAAATGAAGATTTAAATGATCGCGGCTTCATTTACATTTACATGGCTGCCGCGCTGAGCCGACAAACAGCTGATCAGCTGTTTGTCGGCTCAGCGCGGCAGCCATGTAAATGTAAATGAAGCCGCGATCATTTAAATCTTCATTTGCCTTTGCTGAAGAAACAAATCTACATGCCTCTGCCGACAGAGGCATGTAGTTTAGACGTACCCCAAATTCAGTCCCCTGCCCTCACGGAAGGATCATACACCATCTACATCATCCCTGATAGATGTCTGTCCAACCTGCTCTTGATGGAAATTCCACAAGCCTTCTAGGCAATTTATTCCAGTGTTCAACCACCCTGACAGTTAGGAACTTTTTCCTAATGTCCAACCTAAACCTCCCTTGCTACAATTTAAGCCCATTGCTTCTTGTCCTATCCTCAGAGACAAAGTAGATCAATTTTTCTCCTTCCTCCTAGTAACACCCTTTTAGATACCTGAAAACTGCTATCATGTCCCCTTTATCATGTCGAAAAAAGGGGTGTGTGTAGACTGCAGGGTTTTCTGAAAAAAGTGTGTAGACTGCTGCCATGTTCTTTCAAAAGTAAATTGAAAGAATGCAGACTTTATTTGACTCCGGAAAACCTCCTTTGACAAGGAAGAATGCCTTTTTTCGAAAGTGCTCTTTTGAAAAAAGGCACTATGTAATGCAAACTGCGCTTTTTCAAAAGAGAGCACCCAGATTGCCTGGGTGCTCTCTTTTGAAAAAACAGCTTGCTTTTTTAAAAGTACTGGTTGTAGTCTAGATGCTCTTTTTCAAAAGAGGCTTTTTCAAAAGTACCTTTCAAAAAAGCCTCTTCAAAAGAGGTTTGCTGCCTAGCTGTAATGGTTATTGAGATAGTTATTCACCCGCCGTATAGTAGCCCCATTTCACTAATTTAGGTTGTATTTCACTAATTTATTGATAAGAAGGTCATGCAAGACCATATTAAATGTTTTACTAAAGTCTAGGTATAACA